GACTCTTCAATGGTAGATTAGACAGGGTATCGTCTTCATGTAATTCTTTTGTGATTTCGTTGCAAATATCAGAATCATCAACCACCTGCTCAATAATTGAGTCAATGCTGATTGGCCTTTGCAATTATACAAAAGTCTAGAAAAAAGCAAATACTAGTGGATCCAAAATTGGAGCCAGATGGTGCATTGTTATTCAACTCTAACAATCTTCTCCGCTATTGAATCCATCGTTTGATATAAATAAGTTAAATGAATAAAAGTCTTATAACTGTTTTGCTCATGATCCCACTTTTTTGGATTGACATACTTTGCAATATATTCGTTAATATTTGAACAATTATTAGCTTCATATCCAAAATAATTACATACAGTATGTAACATGAGGCTACATAGGATCCTGTTGAAACGAACCAGTTATGATCAATTTATAATCTTATACCTTCTAATGTAAAATATGGTGGTTGTAATTGTGTTGAATAAATGTTGTACTCTCTTCGTTCAAGACAATTATGATAGCATATGTATCTGTAAATTAATATAATAATTGGTTCTGAAATTTCTGGGTTAATTTCATTCTAACAAACATTACAAAGAACTGATACTTGGATATCAATCACTTTTGGTATTTTTTTCAGGAGTATCATGAAAGATTATTTTATCTATAGTCGTGCTCGCTATAGGTTTTTGATGTAAGTTAAACTTCTTGATTATAGGTTTGATTAAACAAACATCATACCATTGTATTATTATATCTTATTCTTATATATTCTTCTATTACCATTTTTCCAGTACGTTCGTAAGCTGTTTTTACGCTGTTCTGATTCTATCTATAGTGAGTATATAGCCAGTTTTTCTTCTAAAACTAACAGATATTTACCAACAACAAAGTTAAGGCACCTGAATTAAGAACACCTGGAGTAGGTACAAGTATCAAACCTCAGTAATTCTTGTAAGTCAATGCTCGTGTTGCAGTTCGACTAAGAGTTATCCTCTCTTTGCAAAATATAAAAAAAACGCACCTTTGCTTTAATAACTTGAGATTCTCTTAACCCAAGTTCAGCTTATGAAATTTGTGACTCAAGTATTGTCGAAATCCCAATCATAAATTTCTGTTAACGAGAAAATTATAATATTCTGATTTAAATTCAGAAAATCATGATACGATTTGTCATTTCAGTCTCGTAAATAAGTGAAAAGGGCTAGAAAGTTAAATTAGAAACTGGTTAAATGATTGCCAGTTATAGACTTACTATTATAACCTTCATATGATTTGACAAATATCGTTCGTTGAGAATAAAGGACAGAGAGGTCTGTTCTTGAAAAAGTTGAAGAGATATCACGCTTATGATCACGAATGATAAAATCATTTTACTGTATAATATACTGCGTCCAGATGTGCATTTTTAAATGTGATGAATACACAGATAAAGTAAATTCATGAAGAGATCATTGACTTATATGTAGAAATCATTGGATCTCCTTAAACAAAAATTTAAAATTTTAGGATTTAGGATTGGGTCTCTAAAACCAGTCCTATACTTAGCGATCTCATCAAAATTTCCAATTTTGAATATCATTTTTGTTTTTTTAATAAATTAATTATAAATTTTTATGACAAATATAGGTTCAGATAGACATAAAATAGAATTATTTAAAAAGATATATGAAATTTTTAGTTTAGATTGCTTATTTTATATTAACAACACTAAACTATGTCTTCTGAATTATATTTAAAAATTTACAATTTTTTAGTAACTCTAAACAAAAACATATTATTGCTACCTCAATGATCTATCAAGAAATAGAGAAGGATCCATGGATTCTGAAAGAAAAGTTAAGAGGAGTGATTTATTAAGCAATTTTGTTAGCAATGAATCTTTATATCTAAGGTTTAAACATCAATGAAAATTCTTGGAATACTTTATCAGGTAAGTTCTTATAAAATAAATCTAAAAAAATATTTGTTAGATAGAATGATAATTTGGCATAACTTTAGTATTACTTAAATAGTAAGCATAATAGTTTATATATTCTAATAGCCTACAATTAAGAGATAATTATTTTCCTTAGACACATGAAAAATAAATATACTGTAGCATTATACTTTATCTATATGTAATTATTATTGTACTATGCAAAAGTTATTATTGATATGAAGGTTTTACAAAGACAATAATTTTTGCTACAACAGCTGATAGCACGCGCATATTAATTTTAAAAAGGTGATTTTATTTATAAAAATAATAACTCAATCTATTATTACTATAGTTTGATATGTTTTTTAAAAACGTTTGTAGCTTATAGGATATCAGAATTATGAAAGCAAATAAAGAGAAACCTTTTATCTCAAAACAAATTGATGCAAACTTGAATAATATAAGATTGAAACTTTTGATAAGAATTTGCAGATAATATTCTCAGGACTAAATTTTTTATTAACTGGTTATTATATTATAGAGGAAACAATTCTCACTTTTTAATGAATTAATACTTAAATTAAGATCAATTACTGCTTCTAACCTTTTATGAAGAAACTCACTTACTAGTAGAGTTATTAGTGATAATTCAGATTTAGTTTAGAACCTCTCACAGAAAATACAAAATACTTTTTTAGTAAGTACTTTATAATTTTTGAGAATTATAGCAATCAAGTTTCTAATTCAGCTCTTTTTACTAGAAACTGTCACATCGAATGATATCATCAAATTTATTAATAATTCAAAAAATATATAGAAGATTTATAGTAAACTTCAATAAACATTAAATAAAAAGTTTATCTGATAAATTAAAACATGATAGTTCTTGAAAAGAATCAGTAGAGATATTTACTATAATTGTAACTAATATTCTTGATATATTGTAAATAATAATAAGGAAAAATATTACTAAATACAGTCAACTCTTGATATAGCGAACTCTTAATATAACGAATTTTTTGAACAAATATAATAAAAATACTCTTATTATAGCGAATTAACCAATCAAATCTCTTAAAATCTTCACTATAACTTTATAGCGAAGTTGAGGTCTAAGACATAGAGTTTGTTATAATAAGAGTTAGCTGTATATATCACTGATTCATTATTAATAGGAGTGATATCTGGAATAATTTGTGTTTAGATCAGATTTTGAAGATTCACTTAATGAAGGTACTTATGTAACAAATATGATAATACTAAAAATCCAATCCATTTTGAAAATCTTTCTTTGAGAAGATTGCATTCATTAGTACATCAAAATAACAAGTCTCACTAGTGCTAATAGAAAGAATGATAATCAAATGAGAAAATGACCAGTTTAAATCAAGTTGAGTTTATGTTTTTTTGACTTGATGATTTGCGAGTCAAGTCAAATTCAAGTCGAATTAAATATTTAACTTAACTCGATTTAAACTCAACTTGATTCGAGTTGACTTGAGTTGACTTGAATGATTTTTTTTATTGTTCAAGAAAAACGATAACAAATTGTTCAACTTGAACAATATTTTTTATCGTTCAAGAAGAATGATGACCTGAATCGTTCAACTTAAATGATGATCTGAATTGTTCAACTTGAACAATGACCTGAATCGTTCAACTTGAACGATTTTTTTTATCATTCAAAAAGAACAATAACCTGAATCATTTGACTTGAACAATAAAAAAAATCGTTCAAGAAGAATGATAATGAATCATTTGCTCTTCCCCCCTTCCCTTCTTCTAATCTTTTTATTTTTTTTTATTATTTTTTTTCAAATCAAATCGAGTTAAAATTGAGTCGAGTCAAATTGAGTTGAGTTTAAAATTTATATAACTCGAATCAAATCAAATTGAAAGATTTTATAAAATAAATTTGACTCGACTCGACTCGAAAAAAATGAGTCGAATAGAGTTGGTCTTTAAACTCGACTCGACTCGACTCATTCGGAACTCTAATAAAGATTATCCAAATATAATATCATCATAGAAAGCCTTACAAATGTTATTAAATGTAAAATTAATTAGGTTATAAAGTCAAATTGTAAAGAGAACATCAATAATATTCACCAGTATAGACTATTCTCACAGTTTATATTTGTTTTCTTTTATCAATATTCTAATTGACTTTTTTTAATAATTTGACGATTATATCCTTAAGCATCTTCAGTAATTTTAGCTTATATTTAGTTAAAGTTTCTGTGTCAAATTTGTTAAAAAATTTTTTGCCAGTCTCACTGGCTCTAAATTCATCATTATCTTCATTGCCTACTGATCATAAAATCCAGTTACCACAGAGATTAAGCTTTGTTCTATTACTTAGTTTTTCTTCTAATGTTCTTTTTATTTGATATAGCTATACTAGTACTTTCTTCTCTTAAAGAATAATGAATTTTTAAATATCAAATCTAAAACTAATATATATGTATAACGGTAAAAAGTAAAATCATTGCTAGACTATTGATGTTCTATTAATATCACTAAAACCTTGATTTATGATCAGAAATTATATATGGTAGTTATATCATGATTTGAGATTTTTCTATTTTAAACCTCCGCTTTCTAGTTCTCAAACTCAGTAATAAAAATATATATATGAGCTTTTATGATTATTTTTTAATAACTGATTTCAACTTACATGAAATAAACAGAATAGTAAATATAATCAATATCGTGATTTTTTAACTGATCGTAAGACTTTTCTGATATTTTATCACATTTATTAATAAAATCTCTTACTTCTTTCAAACTTGACTGAAAAAGTAAATCAATCAGCAACAAATATATGCAGATATAAATTTTGTTAGTGGAAATTTACCATTACCTTTTCATTTATTTGTTTGAGATAATTGACAACTTCATCTAATATAGGAGGTATATTAGATCTAGATGCGTTTTTTATTTCATACAATTTGTCTCAGTAAAATGGGGTTTTACTTCATTATCATTCATGTTTATAATGAAGAAATGGATAAAATTATATAGAAAGATTAGATGTTGAGTTGTTATGTTGTTATAACAGGTAAGATACTTACTATTTGTATTTCAATGATTTGCATTGTATAATTCTTCTTCTATATATCTTTTAGAAGACAACTTCTATATACATTATTTTTTCATTTTTGTATACGATTCCTCTATTTTTTCTATTATTAGAATTTAACTTGATTGAAATCTACATAAAAAAATTAAGTCATAATACTTTATCAATCATGATCCAAATTATCATATATAATTACCAATACTTTTTAAATAACAAATAATATAATGGAATTCTATAACTCACCTTTCTTTCTTTCTTATCCACAATGTAATTCTGAGTTTCAGCAATAGTATCATACATTACATCTGATTTCTCAGATTCAAATTCCTCAAATTTGTATTCGTAAAGCAAAAAAATTTCTAAAATTTTAACCAATTACTTTTGTACATATAATATAAAAGGATCATTACCTTTTCTGAATCGTTTTCATCTTCTATGTATCTGAGATCTGAGAAGAAATCATCATTGAACGTGATAATTCTAATCTGTGCATACTTGAAAGGTAAGAAAGCAGACTATATATTAAAAAACAAGATGGAAAAATATAACCTTATTCTCTGATATATATGGCTATTCTAGGTTAGTTTTCTCAACCTGATCTCCTTTCACCATCAAAATTTTCTGAATCACTTTTACAAAATTTTTAGCAATTTGTTGATGAATTGTTACTGCTGCATTTGTATGAATTTGTAACAGTTGGACCTGTAAAATTATTAGTATAATCTTAAAGATTTTATATACAGAAATGGTGAGAATAAAATTATCGCTGAACATTTAATATCAGCTAGTCGCATTTCTTATTTACTTTGTAATTTAACTTATTTTTTAACGTCTAGAAATAATTAGCCTTTATCTTGTTAGTTTTCTATTCCTTTTCGGTGTATTTATTGAAAAATAAAAGGATAGAATATATAGAATGATTTAGCTTATATCCTTTAAATAAACATAAATAAAAGCCAGTCTAATTGTAGAAATCTGTAGCGAATAAGTAATTCAACATCCGGCTGATAATAGTCCTTTAGATGTGTCATAAGATGTGATTTGATTAGTAAACAAGTAGTTCAACTCTTGACTGACAAGTAGTCCCTTAGATATATTGCAGAATATACACTTATATTTTCACCTTTAAACTATTGAGTAAAATGTTTGCCTTCTTTTTTACATTTACGTCAAAGCTATTTTTACTGTAATTTCTGAAACCTTTTGTCATGTAATCAATTCTTTTTTTCTTGTCATCAGAATGATTGATAATGATCCAAATTGTGAATTCATTTAGATTCCAATTTTTGCTGACGAAGTGGATTGTAGATAGTCATTTGAAAGTGACATTATCTGAAGGACACTTACGTGTATTTGCCAATCAGAAACTGGGTTAGGTGTAATATATTAAAGTGTGTATTTTGTTTACATAATGTAATGTCTGTCAGCACATATATGATGTATAAAATACTAACAAAAAAAGATTAAAAATCTTTTTAAAAGATTTTAATCTTCTCCTATTAACTCTCTACAAATACTATATTTATCGAAATTAAACACCTTTGAAAATAAGCATCTCCCTTAATTTTATGTGATTTCAAGTAAAAATCGAAAATAAATACCATCAAAAATAAGTACTTCCTATTTTAACCTTTATTATTATGATTTACAAATTTACAAATTTATAAATTAACAAATTATACAAATATAATAAAAATATAATTTCTAATTATCCACTATTCATATCAATAATTTCAAGTTCTTTCTCATTTTCATCTTAAATCTCTTTAAGAAAATTATCAATTTTTTCATAAATAACATTATCTTCTTCTATCTAAAGCATTTGATATAATATATTTTTAAAGGAATGGGTAATAAATCATTAAAAACATTTTTTATGCTCATATGATCTATCCACAAATATCACTTATTTTTGCATGTCGATGGTTTCCTTCTACAGTATACTCAGCATCATCATTAGATATCTAGTAATGCCATTCTTTGTGAAGATTATCCTTAAATGGCTTATTAATTGTAACATTAAGTGGTTGACAGATGCTAGTTAAATTATCTGAAATTACTGCTAAATCAATATTATTTTTGCTAAATTTGTTTTTAACTGACTCCTCTAAATGGTCCTTAAAAGAGTCATATACCATAATGGCTGGAAATCTGAACTGATTATTTGACCTTCTTATATGATTAAGATAATCAATGTAACATTTCATAAGATCAGCATTTATCTAAGCACTTTTCTGAAACTATACAATCACATCAGGAGAAGGTTTTTCTTCACGTGGCATTTGCTTTCCTTTAAAAATGAAAATGGATGGTAATTTGATACAATCTATAATAAAAATTAAAAACTAAATTAATTTTTTTATTTATAGATTATTAACTAAAAGGTTCTTACTGCAGTGTATGTTAAAACAACAGTAAACCAATTATTTTTATTGCCTGTTCCACGAATATGAACTGATTTTTCACTTTTTACATGAATGGTAAAATTTCTGGCTATATCAAACCAAACAGGAGCTTTATTCATGTTAAAAATATTATACATTTCAAAAGACTTTCTAATTCTAAGACAAATAATAAATATGTGAAAATTATCTAATTTTTCTTTCAATTGTTTAGTACATCAACATATAGCCAGTTTATACCTTTTCATAAATGCATTTAACCAGCCTGCTGTTGCTTTAAACTCTTTTATTGAATCTTCATAAAGTGCTATTATTTCTTGTCGGTCCAAAATTTTCAACATTGAAATTTGTAAGGTTATAGAAGTTACAGCTAACCCTTTTTTTCTTTGCTCTATAACCCAATTGTATAATTTTTCCTCAGCTTCAGGATAGAAAGCTTTTCGGCCAGAACCCACACATTTACACTTATCTTTTATTTCAGCTGTCCAATTTTCACTTGCCTTAACCCAGCGTCCAACCATAGTACTATCAAGTTCGAAATGTCTGGCTGCTTCATTTCTTCCATGTTGAATAGCATAAGTAACTACAGAAATTTTTTGTTCAATAGAATATGATTCACGTTGACGTTTAATAACTTTTGGCATAATGTGAACAGTTTAAAACAGGTTTTTCGGAGGTTGTAGAGGTCGCGCGAAATTTATAATGGTCGCGTAATGTTAAAAAAACCCTGAATTTAAGTTACGCAAAATTGCGCCGGGTGACGTGATAATTTGAAACCTTTTTAATTAATCTTTAGCGAATTTTAAAAACTTTTTAAAAAGTATCGAAATTAAGCACCACCCCTAACTTTTCGCCCAAATCCTTGCAAAAAGGGGGTGCTTAATTTCGATAAAATACGGTAGTGTTGTGACGAATAAATTTTTGAGTAGTAAAAAAGTTCTGTAGCTGCGCTGTCAACATAGTTTAACAAAACTATATTTAGTCCTATAGTAAAACTTACTATTAGAGATTTTTGACGATCATTTTAACTTCGGGTTTTGCGAGCCATTTTCTAATAAAATTCTAATAAAATAATCGAAATCTTTAAAATTTAATAACTTGTACTCTATTAACATTTAAGTAGCGCAGTAAAGTTGAATGGGTACATGATAAGTTTAAGGAAAAAAAAAAAGTTTTATTTTATTTAGAAGGTTTAATTTATTAATTTCAGAGCATTAATGAATTATTTTTTTAAAAAAAAACGATCTATTTTATGAAAGTGACAGATATTTGGAGTATTTTCGAAAAATCTGAAAATGAAAATGATAAGAAGGATCCAGAATTATTAAAGAAAGAAAATATAGCTTCGTTAATAGTAAATTTATATAAACTATACTAAAATCTTTCAATAGTAATTTTTGTTATAGGACTATAAACAGTGCAGATCTTACCATATGATTACAGGTATAAATAGTCGCGTCGCGAATAAACGTTTCTAGATATCAATAAATCTCTGCTTTATTAAAAATGTCCGCAATCCTTAAAATATTACGAATTATATAACACCGGCTTTTTTTTTAAAAACAAAACAATTTGATTTTAATAAACCGGCTAGTATAGAATTTTTTTCAAACAAGAAATCTTGGTCCCTATTAGAATACCTAAATTATTGGACTTATTCAGGAAAAAGCTAAGGAATATTTACTTTACTTGAGATGTCTAGAATATCTGACTTTATACGCCAAAAATGAAGAAGTAAAAAAATTTTTGCAATACGTTGTCACAATTCTTTTAAAGTAAGTAATTTCTTGTTGGTATTAAATAACTTATCTGATTAATGAAGGCATAGTTGGTATCAATAATGCTGTACTGTATCAATGGTGTTAAATCCATCAATTAGTTGCTTGCTTAGATTTATCTAACAAGTTCTTCTATATGTTTAGGATGATACTAAAGTTGCAAATATTTCTGAGTTCTGGAAATCGATCGAAGTTAAACCAAAATCAGCCCATAGAGGTGGTAGGAGAAGGATCAATAAAAATAATAATCATAATGATAATGATCACAATAATGATGATGTACATGAAGAGACGATGACCGAAATTATAAATGAATATTCCGTTAATGTTCACAAAAATGATGATCCATATGGTTCTTTCGAAAAACTCCCTAAAGTATTTAATTGCTAATTACGAAACTACTCCAGCCAACGAAAGACCACCAACAAGCATTATGAATTGTATGTGCGAAATATAATATATATAAATGCACTTGATCTTCCATGGATTGATCGGTCATTAATTGATAGAGAGTTAGAACAATTGATGACTCTCAAAGAAATATCGCCATCTCTGCCTAATTTTTGGAAAAGCTAGAAGCGATAGTATTTATTATAGTCCCTAATTAATAATTCTTAAAATTAGCAATATTATTTACGCTTTAAATATTAACTCTACATATACTATTCTTTATTTTAGACTAAATTATTACCTTGGTATAAATTAGAACAATGGTCTCGTAAAAAATATCTTTCAGACTTTGCAGATATTCATTGACCAGATCGATCTGTATTTGATGAATTATCTACAAGACATTCTTATACACTAGTAAGTATATTTTATTTATGTTATTTATTTTATCCAATATTTAAATTATGCTTATTGTACACAACATTATTGTTCCAAGAAACATATAATGAAAACATATGCGAAGGAGATGTACACGACATTCACATACTTCCATTAACAAAATTGTTACGTCGCGTGTGTAAGTTAATTAATGGTGAAAGGCTTTCCGAAGCTGTGAAATTTCGGATGAATTTATTCAATCAATCAAATAACAAAGGATATAAAACAGACTTTGAGGGAGAAATTAGTGGGTTTGAAGTTTTCACATTTGAAAATTCTTTTTTGACGAACGAACACACTAAAAAATATAAAAAGGATGAATTAAAAATTGGATGTTATACCAGAGATGATTTGATAGTACTTTGGCAAACATATTATCGAAAAGCTTTTCTGAATTTAATGAATTTGAAACTTATCTCAAAGCTATTCGAACTTGGGGAGCACAACTTTCTGGCATTTTGGGCGGCATAAGTGGACTACATCTTAGTATTTATTCCACTAGACCAGTGATGTGCACTTGGAAGATTGGAAGCACTCTTGGAAGCACTTTTGGAAGGGTTGGAAGCATAATTCTCTAATGAATTCATTTGGATTGGAAGCTTCCAATAATATTTTATACTATTGGAAGCATAAATGCACATCACTGCACTGGACAGGTCATAGCTGGTTTATTTTTTTTTCTTTTAGTTGATTCTGAACTTTTACCACGTAAAGAAAACGGTGTTGGTTATGCAAGCTTAAGTACTTGTGCAGAAATGATTATTTGACTAGCAGTAAGTTATGCCTTTTTTTAAAAAAATTTTATAATAAGAACATAACTGATTTTGTTGTTTTAATTAGGCAGGTATACAGACCAGTGTTGTGCTGGGACATGTCCCAGATGTGCTTGGGACAATTGGGACATAATGTGGGACAGCTTGGGACATAGTGTGGGACAGTCTTAAAATGCTTGGGACATGGAAAATGGACAACACTGCAGCAAACAGGTAAAATATACTTGAGATGGATAAATTATATAGAGAAATGAGTCGACAGAATTCCAAAAGACAACCAGATAAGAGAGTTTATGTAGAATATGAAATTAAGAATTTCAATTCACTATATAGTATCAGTATCACAGTCAAAAATGATAGCATCATGCAAAGTGAAAGCAACAAGAAGCGATGTGGATTATGTGGTCAAGGTGGTCATAATTCACGAACTTGCTCACAAAAGTAATCAAAAATAGAATGATCCTTTGAAAAAAGTAATATAGGAAATTCTGTAATTTAGAAGTCATGTGAATCTGTCAATTAAGTAATAGAAAAAAGAACAGTATATTGGACCTTTGTAATAGAAGGGGGAAATTGCTGGAAAAAATCAATTTTACTTCTATATGCCAGATATGATTTTTAGGTCAAAAATATGTTCAGATTTTGCATTAACTCATTTTTTATTTTTTCCAGCCGTTTACCCATTTTCTATTGCAAAAGGTCCCATATGCTTACTTATTATTATTTTTTTTTTTTGATTGTGAAATAAAACATTAATATTGAGAAGAGGTTAACAGGCTAAATAAAAATGAATATAATAAAATGAATGGGTAGTGAACGTTTAAAGGGAGGAAATCACGTAATGTAAAATATCATATTCTGCCGGCCCCTGGACTAATAAAATGAATTATCGTGCTCACCCATATGAATAAAGTAAAAAAGTAACATTCATTTTTGCATATTTTATTTGATATATGTATACGATTTAAAATTCGATATACTGAATTTTATATATTTTTATTATTTAAATCGGTATATCAAGAAAATTGACGTAAGGATACTACATAAAATATGTTAAAGCTCCAACTCTTGTTAAAGCCAGTGGGAATTTTGCAAAATCCACCAATCAAATGCATTTGAGATCGACATAATTATCCGCTTCAACAATTTTCATCATTGTTAATAAATGCAAAGTGAATATTTTTTCTCACATACTTTGGATGTGTATGTATGCACGTCAGAAAATATTATATTGCAGAAAGTACATTTCATTCATGACCGTAATTACCTGTTACGAATTTCATTAATATCAGTTTTGGAGCTTATGGACCTCAGACATAACTTTGATCTTTTTTATTAATTCCTTTTTATTATTTTCACGGAAATTTTCAAATTCACGACTTCAAACTGACGCAGAAGAAACTTCTAAATAAAAAAGTTAGAATAATGATTAAGATATTATATGAGGAACTCCATCATCACCTTATATTTCTCCGAGTTTTCCTATTAATTCCATGATATCAGTTGCGTTTCCAAATTTAATTTAAATGGACCGTTTTGATTGATAAATATTTCTCTGGTAAAGCTAAAAACACTTACCACGAGTAATATGAAACTTTAAAAGAATTTCTTGCAGGATTAAGGGGAAAAAGGTGTGGTTGAAAAAAAAAGATTTTTTAATGATGCCATTACGATCTGATCAAAAATCAATTAACAAGAATTTTTATGATTATTATTTCTTATTATTAGACCACTTTTGACGATGTTATGTAATCCACCTCAAGTAGTTTTTCAGATTCATATACTTTAGTTTTTAGCAATATAGGAATTGTTAATTTAGTATCTTTTATCCTATTATGGAAATTTTCTTTGTTGAATACACGTGATATTTGCCTTTAATAATTTTAGACGAAAACAGATTGAAACAAGACGATCGAGAACAGCGAATGTTGAGATATCCTTTACCGAAGCGAGGGGACTAGGATTTGAACATTATATAGATGGATAAGCTGCAATCATTTTACGCGGATATAATAGTATCTTACCTATTTGTAAATGTTGGGAAAGTAAGATTTTCGTCTTTGACTTGCTTTCGAGAAAGTTAAAACGGTTTATCTAAATAAACCATTCTGGAATCGCCCGTTGAATCTAAAAAAAGATTAATTTTACTTTTGGACTCAAAAAAATAATCTTAGATCAAAAATTTACAATTTCTGTTCAATTATAATAAATTAAAATAAATTATTTGATTATAAATAATGTCAATTTTTTTTTTTTTTTTTGGTGGAAATCACTTAACTCATTTAATTAATTTGGAAAAGGGAGTCGAAAATTAAGATTCTGCTCTCCTAGTCGAATATTTTTCATAAAATTTTCTTTTTGTGAAGTGACAGGTTTTTACAATAAAAAATTTTCATATTGACTCGTCAATATCTTTGCGCGACTAAGTTTAACAATAAAAAGAAAAAAAAGAAAGAAAGTGTATAATGTTAGACATTTACAGTCTACTTATGCTTCACATGAGAAATTCATAAGATATTATATAGGTGATGCTCTAAAATATGTAAATCTATATTTTATAAAATATTCATAATATATACAACTTTGTAATTAGTTAAATAAGTCTGTATTACTTTTTTTTTTTTTTTTATAAAACTAGCCATTCTTCGCCAGGAAGGCGTCCATACCATCCTGCTGCCACCCGAGCACCACGTAGAGATGAAAGCTAAATCGCCCAGGTACACGTACACGGGCACGCGGGTTACTAGGATTTCCTTCCTTCCTTTTTTTTTTTTCTTTTTTTTAAAAAATTTTAAAAATTTTTTTGCTTTATTTAAAATATTTTTCAAAAAATTATAAAACATGCATCTATGCCTTTGGGCTTTTTGGAGCCGGGTGCCCTTCGTCATCCTCCTCGCGCTTCCTTTTTTTCTCCTCGGCCCTCTTCTCTGTAAGAGATACGGCTTTCTGCATATAAACGATGACGCCCTCCTTTATATGCGTTCTCATGCTCTCCGTCACCATATAGGTCTTTGAAGCTGTCCATTTTTCACGTCGAAGTTCTTTCTTTTGGATTGATTTGCCGATCTATTTTTACATAAAACGTTCAATAAATAATGTTTTAAATCAATTTATGATTATGAAGCCTTTTTTATACTTACTTCTCGGCTAAAACCCTTGAAATCCACTTCATTGAAGTGATGCTTGAATCGACTACAGTAATTAATCACTAGTTTATATATCTAAAAAAAAATAGATTATTACAGATAAATAAAAACAATTTTCAAAATCTCCAAGATAAAATAAAGATAATATTGATAGATGATTAATTGATTACTTACTGCCATTTTGAATTCCTTTTCGTTCATTTGTGTATTCAATGGAACTCCATGTGCGGCTTCCAGAGCTGCTCTTTCTTCAGCTTCTGCTTTCTCCCGTGCAGCTCTTTCCCTTTGTTTTTCGGCCTCTCGAGCCATCGCTTCTGCACGTTCGATTATTGCCTGTAAAGCTGCTTGGCTGAATCCATCATAACTTTTGACATCATCTTTCACAACTGGTCGTTCCCAAGAAGTTTGCAGAGTATATTTATTATAATAGTATACTTGTCCATATTCATCCTTTGTTTCATACCAATTTGGAGCAAGTGGTTCCAATTGTTCTTGCGATGGTTGCTGCTGTTGCTTTTGTGATTGTTCATTTTGTGATTCTGCAGGCGTTGGCCTTAAACGTTTTCCACCACGCCTATTGTAATTATTATTAAGTGGAGCGTATGTGCAACCATATGGATTATCAGGTCTCATCTTCACAATACCATCATAATAATCGTGGGCGGGGACTTTACAATCCAGTGTTTTGCACCAATATTCAAATTGAGAGAAAGATTGGAACGGTGAATTGCTTTCCATGTGGCGGTTGTAGAAGTCGTGACTCGACTCGTAACGATTAGGATTGAGTTCTTGAGGGGTTTTTGCTTTATCGCACGCACTGCCTGGAAAACTTGTGTAGCTTGAATGATTTAAATTGCTACGTTCGATTGTCCTTATTTTAACATCGGGATTATTGAACTTGACGTCACGTTCAGAATCTTTGCTTTTGCCTTTATTAGCTCTGGAAGGCGTTTCAATCTGAACTTCATCATCATCAGCCAAATCCTATGATTAATTAAAACCCACGAACATTTGATTAAAGTCACAGTCAACATTAAAATCAAAAAAAAAAGATAAAACAAACATTTACCAAGGTATGATTTATGTCTTGTTTTTGCAATTCATTCAATTCGGGACCGCACGAGGGAAGTTTGTCCCATTTGTCGATTAACTCTCTCGCTTTTGCACCAATTCGATCATTACGACTTTCGAATTTTGTAACCCATTCTTTTAGATGTGAAGTTTCGACGCGTCTGTCTTTATACTTGAAGGGTATCTTATCCGCAACGTTTAATGTCTGAATATAAAAGGATGAATTAATAACTTGATAGTTTTGATTTATATACATGATTAAATTGAACGCACAGATAAAAGGCGATCAAGGTATCATACTTTAAAGACAATTTCATCATCATTTCTGAATTCATAGAGATAAGATTTAAGCATTATACCACCAAAAAGCTTCATAAACATTCTTAGAATGGCGACGTCATTGGTTAACTAAGGATCATCAAAATTGAGGAGATGAAAAAGGTTAACACATATATACATCATCGCGAAATACTAGAATAATCAAAAGAAAAGGTTAAGTAAAAACCTACTTTCAGCCTGAACAATATTGGCCGCACCATGCTTGGTTGTTCAAGAGATTTATACATCAAATTAATAAATTGTTTAACCCCATCTATATCTGGGATAGGTTCTTTCAATTCAGCTTCAATTTCAGCCTCGTCTTTGATGTCGAGGTTAGTTTCTTTTGTACCACCAATGACACCGCGGCAATTTTGTTCTCCACAGTGACACTTTTGAGCCTGAGAACTATTATGATTAATATAGGATAATAGGAAGAGCATATTATATCAATAAAAGCTATAGGAAAAAAATATAGACTGCGACGAATATGAATGATAAATACTTGCCCGTAACGATCAGCGTTATAATCAAAGGTTAGCTCCTCACCTTCCCTGATGTTTCGTAATGCAAAGATACCGATACGGTACCGATCACCAATCATCCATTTCTGGATGTAACAGTTAGGATTGCAAGAATGATTCATAAATCTGGCAATACATCCGAATTTTGTTGCATCGATGATCTAAGGAAAGAATGAATGAAAAAGAAAGTTAAAACACAGATTGATGAAATCAACACTATTAAGATTAACATTCAACACATAAATACCTCCCCAGCCTGCAAAGACATAAAGTAAAAGTGCTTTAGTCCTTGCTTGTTATAGGTGACCATGCGTTTTAAGAACGTATTGTTCTTGATCACTTCTCCGACGTATTCCATAATAAATTGATTACTAAATGGCGTACGAAAAAAGTCAACAAAAATATGTTGGAATATAATAGAAAAATAACGATAAAACATGAATTAGACCAATGATAAAATTACTTACGGTCGCATTGGATCCATTGCTCTTAAACCATATCCCTTTAACGCAAAATGTATCACGTCAACATTAGCGTTTTCAGCCCGTTGGAATCTATGCAAATAATGGAATTTAATAAATCACATAATACTTTGTCATGAATATATTCAAAATCTCAAAAGTAAATCTATACAAGTTAAAAGTAAATCACAAAAACATTCAAAAAATATTCCATCCATCCATCCATCCATCCATTGAAAGAATTGCTCCTTTTTAATGTGTATATATTTTTGTATCAATTAGGGAAGTTGCGCCTCAAGGCATTACATTTATAAAATCTTAAATTGTTCTTTCATTTATTTTTTCATTTTTTTTAAAAAATTACAATTAATTCCTTTTGCAATTGAACGCTCAAAGTTTTTCTTTCACATTATTTTTGTAATTATTATTATTATTATTATTATTATTATATTCTTTGATGAGTAATGGAAATGTAATTATTGAGTTCAGAGGTAGCTCATTTTAACTTACCTACTGTTCTGGCAATGTTTGCCAGTAGTACAATCACCGTCGCGACATTCCATGAAGAGCTCACGGTTGACACAACCCGCAAATTCACCACATGCTTGACTCGAGACATCTTTACCTAGATAAGAGAGAAATGATAACATCGTACGATATAACGTTGAAGAAAAGAATAATTAATAATCAATTGAAACTATTCGATATATAATCATTTAAATATATATGAAAATATAAATCACCTGGCTCATGTTTGCAACAACATCTATAATCCGTATCCTGTTTTCCAACGAGACCAACGTTTCCTTTATAGATGTTTTCTTTAATTTCTTCGAACAATCTTTTTGCTTTATCAGCATACGAAGGATATTCGTTGTAAAGTTTAACCATTTTTGTTTCGTTGCTTAAGTGGGAGAGAGTTTAAAAGTATTATAAATAAGTAAGTAGTATGAGTAAGAGTGAGCTTTCGCTAGTTTAAGTACAGAAAAAGTTTTTTGAGGAGTTGCAACGACTTTGGTAATAGTGAAAGGCAAAAGTTCAAGAAAGGGTCGTAGGTAAAAAAAAAAAAAAAAAAAAAAAAAAAAAAAAAAAAAATTTCGAATTTCCCAAAAATTTTTAATCTTTAATTTTTTAAGCAATTAACATTGCACGTGAGTTTGAATCGAAAAAGAATAAAAAGAGAGAAGTTTGTTCAAACACCCTAGTGATGTTTTGAATAAAGTATGTATCACCTAAATCCTTGCTAAGGTTAACCGAATTTCGGCCAACCAAAATTTCTAAAGCGGATCAAAAATTAAATATCAACAACCTCTGTAAGTTTTTTTATTTTATGGCACAATTATTGAATCCGAAAATGGGAAAAGATTTTATCAAACATACAATACAAGTTGCTAAAAATATTAAACCATGTGTACAGTACTTCTGGTTTTTGACCCGAAAGGTGCATAAAAAATTTTAAATAAAAAAGTTACAAAATTGGAAATTAATAATGAAAATTACCAAAGGGAAAAAATAATTGAAAAGAAATCCACTTTAGAATAAATTTAATTCCTTCTGTGATAAGTTGATGACATACTCTCTTCCTATTTATAGTAACATTGCGGTAAAGCACCCGAATATTTCCCTGGGATATTGCAAATCTTGACTTTTTTTGGATGGCCTTGCACAAAACCTGGGCGCAATTAATTTGAGGCGCTCTATCTCAAATTTATCACCAAATATCCAAATTTGGCTCATTAACATCAACTCATATATTGAATCACAAGTGTAACTCCTCTTGTCAAAATCCTCCGAATTTTGGGGAATGATTGACAAATTGAGGAGTAAACCTTAATTTGATATATTGTCCATTATTGTCGGAGGCCCGCAGCAATTTTTTTTTTTTTTTAACAGAGCTCATCTTAGATATCCATGTGTCTTTAAGAGCTCGGATGATTTCTCGTGAAATCATTTCTTTTTGATGTCATGTCATTGGGTGATAAACTAACCATGCAGGAAGAACTTTTGCTCACGTGGCATTATTATCACATGATGATTCAAACAATAAAAAATATAAAAATGAATGAAAAAATTTTTCAATCTTAAATCAGCAATTATTTTTTTTTTAACAGACTTTATTTACCCTTATTATTATTATTATTAGTATTATTATTATCATTATCATCATCATTATTATTCATCTATCATCATCATTTATCTTTAACGCTATTGTAATGGCAAGTTCAAAAGCTAAAAGTTCAACCGCAGGTACACCTTCACATGCCTCAACTTCCACTTCAACAGGAGGAGGAAATCATCACGGTGGTGGAGCAGGAGGTAGTAATGTAGGCGGTGCAACTAGGGGAGAAGGTGGCAGTTCGACAGTAGCTGCTTCTTCGAAACATCATAATAATAGTAACGTTACAGGGGAGACTCACGCAAAAAGACTCAATAAAGGAAAAGAAATTGTAAAGGAGACACCGCTAGTAAGTTTCAAATCCATTACATCTTTATTACGTTTACCTTTACGTGCTAACATATTAATTTTATTGTAGTTGGATTTTAATACACTTGATATTTCAGTGTTGCGTAGATATAAAAGGATTCATAAATTAAAAGTAAAAGATTATGCTACCAAGGAAGATTTAGTTACTGCAGTGTCTAAACACTATGCCTCACAAACCGTTAAAGAAGCCGATGTTATTGCGGCCTTTGTATACACGGTACATAATAAAGGTAAGCGGCTGTACTTTTTTTTTTTTTTTTGTTGAATAATCATTTTAAAACTAAATGAATAAATATCTTTTCTTATTCGTCTTAGATAATGTCTTGAAGTTACCAATTCCATAACAATCGTGTCGACGTAAGCCAAGATTTGGAAAGTTATTTATCTAATAATATTTCATCAACCATTTCGGCAATCGCTAATGAAGATGTTAAACCGGGACTTTCAATTCCAACCAAATTAACAAAACCTTTTAACCCGTGCTCGATTTCTTCCTTTATGATAAAATCTTTAAAAGGCTCTTCGGGCCCTTGCAACTTTGGTCTAAAAGATCAAATTTAAAATTAAACTTAGAATTCAAAATAAAATAAAGAATCTCTTTTTAATCTTTTTTTTTTTAATTACCTTATTCCCGTGTAGTCTGGATAAAGATGTTCTTGTTTAATTGATGGGATATAAGTTTTTATAGCATCAACAAATGAATGGATTCTATCATGGTTCATGGTATAATCATTTGGACTATTTTGATATAATACGTCAGGACCAAATCTTATCTTACCCTGTAAATCTAAAGTTAAATGAGTACCTAAATTTGTTAGGTTCCTTGGAGGTACCGGAAAAATTAAACGGTTCACTTTTATTGGATTTTCTCTGTTTCTATAAGCAAAATAGTGACCTTTAACATAATAAAGTTTATAATAATGAGTAGGTGGTAAAATGTAATTTGCTATTTTATCACTAAACAACCCGGCCGAATTGATAACAGAATTGGCGCGTATTGTAATTATTAAATTCTCATTCTCAATTTGGACCAAATATCCTTTATCCTGTGAGCATCTCTTTATATCAACAACTTTATGCCTTAATGCGATATCTCCTTCCTGCTCTTTAATTTTCCATTCAAAATAATTCATTAAACTATGAGAATCTATTATTCCCGTCGTGGGAGAAACCAGAACTTGTTTTCCACTAATGTATGGTTCTTTTGCAGAAATTTCGGATTGTGGAAGAAAATACGTTTCAACTTGTATTTGTTTTGATTTTTCATAAAGTTCTCGTAAATACTGCTCTTCTTCAAAATCTTGCGCTACTATCCATTTACCAACTCGTGCAAAAGGAATTGATGAAGTTGAAGATAAAAGATCGTATAATAAATGTTTTCCTCGAATACATAATTTTGTTTTTAATGAATCGTTTGGATAATATAACCCTGCGTGAATTACTTCACTATTCCTTGAACTTTATCGTTCGAGACAAAGAATCAGGTTAGTAAAAAAAAAAAAGATGGAAAGGGGATCAAAGGATGATTACCTTGTTTCTTCACCTAGCCTTGAATTTTTTTCAACTAATAATACAGATTTTCCTTTACGTCTTGATAATCTTTCTGTTATTGATAATCCTACCACACCGCCTCCAATTATTAAATAATCTACTGAAATTTCTGGTGTAATGGAAGTAATGCAACGTTTTCTTAATGAAGAATTTATGGGAAAATTGTAGTGAGTTGGTAAGATGAATTTCGTAAAACGACAATTGCGAGTTAGTGGGAACATTATTGTCTGGAGAGAATTTACACAAAAGTCTGGATTAAAAAAGTTGATCGGTCTTGCTGTTACACAAACATTTACATTTATTTATTTATTTTCATCTGGATCTAAATTTTTTGCTCTTACATCCCTCTCTCTCAAAATATTATCATAATTGAGGTAAGCAAATTTTTTTTTTTTTTGTAAATAAATTCAAAAAGTGATGATTAAGGCATTTGTCTGCTTTTACTTTGTGTAAAAATGATGAAATTACGACAGCTACCTAAATTTGTCAATATCTGATTAAAACAATTTTTTTTTTTTTCCTTTAATATATTTCTTCAAAGTACTAATTTATATTAACATAATATTCTTTCAGGAGTGAAAATTTCCTTAAACCGGAACGTTTTTAAATATTTTTATTTTATTTTTTTTTTATAGTTTGTAATTTATATTTACTAAATAAAATTAAAAATTTTGATATTACAAATATTCCAAAAAAACGTTTACCATTGATTTAATTAAATCCAACAATTTTAAAATATTAAATAAGAGAATTCTGTGGTTTAATGCTTTTGTTTCTTTGAAAATTTTTGATTTTTTGTTGGAAATATTTCAATGGTGAAATTTATTCTCTACAAGAATTATTTCATTCAATTGGTACCTTGATTGTAAGTGTCGGATAATCAAAAAATGACTAGTGTCATAATACAATAAATATTTTTTTTATATAACCAATATTTTTTTTTTTTTACTTTTATTTGTGTCACACGAGCATTAAGAGGTTAACCTCTCTATATAAAAATTCCTTTTTAAATTCTTTCTGTTCTCCGTTTCAAAAAAAAATTTCTTTTCAATGAATATTATCAATACGTTAAAGTTAAAACCTGGATTAAATGTGATAGTTCTTTATGATGGTAAGGTAATAAATAACATTAGACTGACCCTTATATATGCTATTTCATATCCTTTTTTTTTTTTCTCATTATTTAGGAGTATGTAATATATGCAATTTAGGCATACAATTTGCGATGAAACGTAATAACGCGTTACCAATAGTTTATTATGCTTCATTACAATCGAAATTAGGTTTATCTTTAACAGATTATTACAACCTTCCAAAAGATTTATCAACTTCCGTTTTGTTGAAATATCAAATTCCAAATGATTTCCTACAACCTCACAATTCCTCCTCTTCAATTCCTAATGAAGTTGCTCAATTACCACAACCAGAATTATTTATGAAATCCGATGCATCAATAGAATTGGTTCGATATCTAGATAATCCTTGGCCAATCACTTATTATATCGCTAAAATCATTCCTAGATCGTTAAGGGATAAAATATATGATCGGTTCGCGAGGGACAGATATCAAAATTTCGGTAAATCTTTTTAAACCTTTTTTTTTTTGATACGTCCGAGGATCGAATATCATTTAATTTTTATGTAAAAATGATTCCTTCTAGGTAAAACCGAGTCATGTCAAATGCCTATACCTGGTAATAATAATAATTCTTAGAAACAAGATGTACAGTAGAAACGTTTTTAACTTATAATTCTTTTTTTAGAATGGAGAGATCGATTTCTTGATTGGAAAGAATTGAAGTTTACTAAATAACTTATATATGTAAATGCATTATGTTTGCTAGCATATACTTTGACCAGTTCCACATAAACAAACGAGCCCATTCCTAGTTAATTTCGATTTGTAATGGAATATATCAAATCTAGAAATCAAAACAATAATAAATAAATAAAATTATAAATGGGAATGGATTGAGCCCAAAAGGTTTTTATTTGTCCGGTGAAATCGTCTCACCCCAAGTACAAAGAATTCATGATGGCTTGACAAATTTACGATCTTTTTTTTATTCACTCGAATTTTTTTTGTGATGTTTTTCGGGGTGAATCGGTTAGCGTCATAAACATATTGAATGAGGAACCGGAATGAAACTTGGTAGCCAAATGCATAAAAATAATTCAAAGAACAAGTCAATTCTTCATGTAAATGAAAGAACGAAAAAAAGAAAGTGAAAGAAAAAAATAAAGGTGAAGGAGGATAATTATGTAAGGAATGGAAAACTTGTTTTGGCGCATATAAATTAACATATTGTTATCATTATAAATTAATGATGAGCGAATGTTTGATTACTCTCGATATTTCATGTGCTTACGTCGCACCAATTTTCAATATCACCGATCCGATAAATGCAGTAGGTAATTTTTTAAATTAAATCGTGGTATTTATGAAAAGTCACCTGAAAAAAAAATTTTTTGTTTTTTTTTTGCTTTTGACTTCGTTATCAATAAGTAAAGCTTTCTTTGTCGGATGAACATGATGACTCGAATCGAGAAAATTTTCTTTTTTTTTGTGTGTCGAGTTGCTCATTATCACGTGTGATTTATATTTTTTGTTGATTAACCCATTAAATTCAAGAAGGGCTAAATTTCGTCATTTCGTCAGTCATCAATCCTTTACAGGTAATTTGACGACAATATGATTCCAATATGTCAGAAATACGAAATTATGACCAATTTCAAATTTTTCAAAAAGATACATTATAAATTTTTATTTTATTTTTTTATTTTTTTACGAAATTATGATGGAATTTAAATTCATGATATTTATTAATAATAAAAAAGTATAAAATATGATCGAATTCCCCACCCCCTCAGGAAAAATAAAAAACTATAAAATATTTAAAAAATTTCCTACTTTTTTTTACGTGTAAAAAAAAAAATATATAAATAAAATATGAAAGCTTCGCTACGTATATTTTCATTGGTAATCCTTGTCTTATTGTTCGTCGTAACGATAAACGGTTCAAGCAAATTTGGTTCGTCTTCAATTTCAACCCCTTATTTTTAATGAAGGTAAATCGATTCAAGAGTAACCGACATTTTTATAAATACTCTTTTATAAAATGAATAGATCCGACAGATCCATCGACTTGGTCTTCGCATGAGTTAAAAGAATGGCTGGCTGAAAATCGATTAACCTATGAGGGAATTCCCGAGAAGCATGAATTATTGGAACTTGTTAAATCTAATTGGTACGAGCTCAAAGATCGATCAAAATCTTCGACTGAAGCTGTTGAATCTTTTATTTCAAAATATGCTGATATTGTAAAAGAATGTGGGTGGTTTTTTTTTGTTTTTCCTACTACTACTTGTTGGTTGAATTTAAATATACAAAATTTTTTTTGACGGGTTTTTTTTTTATTTTATCTTAGCATCTTATGAAACCGCAGATCTCACCGAAGATAAATACAATGCGTTTGTTCAGGAAGTTGCCGATCAAATCGAATCCGTTCGACAAACCACCGGCCTTACTGAAGAACAAGTTCAATCGGCATTTAGCGGAATTACAAAGAAGTTAAAGGGAACCAAAGATGCGGGCAATAAAAATTTACAGCGTGCTCTGGATGAAGTTAAGAGATCTTACTCAATGGCCCAGGCAAATCGGGACGTACTCATTCAAGAAACCACAAATCGAGTACAAGACGATCTCCTCAAATCCGACCAAGTTTCTCAGGAAACAGTTGATTGGTTTAAGGATCAAATCAGTAAAATGAATGAACAAGCAAGTTTTTCGAAGGCACGAACTGAAACTCAAGTATCATTGATTTTGCAAGGAATTCAAGAACAACTTACCAAACGCAAAATTGTCGCTGCAAATCAAATTAGTTCCACCAACGAAAAATTGTATAATTCTGTTAAACCATCAATCGAGAGTACCTTGGAAAGGTTGGGTCTTGATCTTAATAAAAAATTTGGTGGAGCTTCAGACTACGTTGTTGATGAATTGCGATCTCAATTTTCTAGCGTTAACGATTATCGTTTACTCACTCAAGAAAAGATTCAGAATGCTGTTGACGCTATTGGACAAAAACTTTCAAATGGAAAGAATATGACCGTTGAACAACTCCAACAAATTAAACAATCCGTCTATAAATATTTCGGTTTTGTCAAGCACTATTACGATAGTGCAACCGGTCAAGCAAGACAAACTGCTTTCGAAACAAAGGAAGCTCAACAAGCACGATTAAATAATCTTATTGATAGCATTCGATCTTATTTTAGTGACGCCAGTAACAAAAGTAGCGAACAAGTATCCAAAATGATAAAAAATGCACAGGAAAATATATCGGCGACTCAACAACTTACTGCGGAACAATCCAAGATCTTATCCGATACTATTCAGGAACAGTTTGGTAACGTTAAAGATTCTCGTGACCTTACCGAGGAAAAAATGAATTCCTTCGTAGAAACGTTAAAAAGTCGATTCGCTAGCGTTCGTGATTACGCGGCTGATACTTATGACTCGGCTTCCAAGAAGGTTGAAGAAGGGTACGATGTTGCTCAAAACAAAGTTTCGACTGGTGCCGAAAATGTTGCTGACCGATTTGGAGAGACTTATAAGAACGTTAAAGATCAATTTGCACCACCACATCATAAAGATGAATTATAAGTGAATCGAAGGAAAAATTTATTGAAATAATTAAATCCTTTTACCAAAAGACATTAAAAGACTTATTATAATTAAAAAATTTTATATATTCTCTTGCTATGATCTTTTTTATTATTATTATACTATTATAATAGTATTTCTCCTTTGTAAATTTAAAAATAAAGTTTGATTTCTTTAACTTCCATCTATCTTTTTGCGTAACACATTCTTAAAAAGATTAGCACACGCCCTGTGGAGGCAGATGCAAACGAAAATCGTGGCTTGACTGATTTCCCAAATTTAAGATTTTAAGCCAAATTAAAATTAAAATTAAATTAAATAAATTAAATGATAAGCCAATTTTTTGTAATTGATTGAGGCTTTATGAAACATCAAAGGTGATCGAGATAATAAGCACACATTGAGATGCTTTTGCGCAACTATTAAAAAACTTGAGCCTCGCCCACAATTCATCAGATGACCCCAATTGATGACAGTTCTTGTTAGAAAATCACAAAATCACAATGATGTAAATATTTTAAAGTAGTGCGATCTGTCCTCGTTTTATTTGTATTGAGTATGTTATTCCGCAGTGCGAAGGATAACTTGTATCCCAAATCGATGAAGATGAATAAGATATGACGGAGTTTCAAATTCATTGCCATACGTGGCGGTGTCTCTATCATCCACATAATGAGAAATTGTTGAGTCATGATAACTTCTTGTTTACCAACATTCCAAGATAAGTCAAGATCCCCGCATGGGTTATATGCCAATCAAAATTAAACACATTCTAAACCCATTTAGATTAAAATCATTAAATTGATAAAAGCCACAGTAATTCAGCCTTCAATAAAATTTTTTTATTAATTAACTCAATCTTTCGAATTTTTTTCTTCTTTTTATTATTTTTTTTTTTTAATTTTCTCTTTGAATTAACAAAATAAACAAATAAATAAATAATACTTTTAGAACTGGCCCAAATCGTATCATTAATAAAAAAAAATTCAATTACGGGTCACCATGTCCTCAACCGATTCTAGTCCTAAAGAACATCATAATACCTCACCCACTTGGAATAGCGAGGGCATGGTGACCTCAAACATATCAAGCGAAACAGGTATTTCGCAACTTATGGAAACGTCCACATTTATTTTTCCCACGAATTTGTCGGCTTCTACCAATGAATCAAAAAATACTACCGGATCACAACAATCAAATTTTGTTTCTTTACCGCAAAATAGTATTTTTCCTTATGATTTTATTTGTGTGGAAGAGTTGCGAAAACTTGCGGAAGTTAGCAATCAAATTTATTCTTCGACATCCGATTCTTCAAATTCGACCTTGCCCGTAGTTGACCATGTTCCTGCAAAACCGGTTAAACCGATTCAACCAGCTTCACCTTTGTCGAAAGTTAATGACTCTGAACGATCGTCTTCCTCTAATTTTACCAATGAAGATAATTTTAAGAAGAAAATCATAGGAGGTCGAAAAAGAAAAGTTGAAAACTTGGAAGATAAGGAACACAGACAACGTGAGAGGTAATGATAATACGGGGATTCGAGTTGTGAACCCCCATTTGTCACACATTATTTTTGACATGTAACGTTTTTATAGAATACTTCGAAATCGTCATGCTGCGCAAATGTCACGTGATAAAAAGCGACGGCAAATGGCGGACCTTGAATCTCAAAATATGATTTTAAAGGAAGAGAATTCTCAACTTTCTACACGATTAAAAATTGTCGAAGAAGAAAACATTGCATTATCCGAAAAGCTTGATACAATTTCAGCACAACTTGTTGATATTCAATCACATATCGCCGTATCCGAGATGACCAAAGTCCTACTTGGCGGTGTTTGCGGATCAGCAGCATCCGCGACCTTGGATTCCGACTCTCTTGCGTTGAACGTTGGTAAGGAAGGAAATGTCACTTTTAACGGTAATCAGCATGAGATACTAGAACATTCCTCTAGGTACGTCTCCAATGCAAGAGAGTCCTCCAAGAAGTCCCAGCAGCGGCACGTCAAGATATGGAACCTTTACGGGACGTTGTCACAAATCCATTCTTTTCCGATTTGGATGCTTCCAACACAAGTACTGAATCAATTAATTCTGACCTTCTCGATAGTTTTTTGGACTATGATTGGTCAGCAGAAGAATTTTCTTCTATTGGATGATCGGATGGTATTTGTTGACGACGTTGTCATCTTGGAACTCACTCATCGTTTCAATACGAAACGAAGGATGAGATCCGTAAAGGCTCTGCGTGGTAACGCTTCAAATCTGAGGCGTATCCCACGTGATTGGAGGAAATATCCACCCTAACACCTACTGAACCTTTTTTTTTCTATAATAATTTAGTTTGTGCACTAGAAAACCTACGAGTGGCCAAAATACGCCTAAAAGACAATGATTGCAGAGAAATTCCTTTAATGTTAGGTTATAGTGTTATCGATCAACGGCCTGTATCATTTCAAATAATTCAAAAATTTCTCTTTTCGCTTATCATTGGAGGTTTTTTTTTTTTTTCCTTTACTTTTTTCTCGAATCTATTTTTTATGTACGTATTATTCGTAACAGACAGAAATATATATATATATATATAACCTACTTCCCCTTAGTAAGTCTTAACTTGTTTTATAATTATCAATTCATTTATTTATGTACTTTAATGTTAAATAAATCCTTTGTGAATTTTATTAATATAAAGTTTGATCATACAATTTGCTTATTTATTTAAATTGATTTAAATTTAAACCACAATAAAATAAAAAATAAAAAAGATAATTAAAATTTCAACGTATAAATTCTTATAACTTACAATTATGTTACATATAATAAATTTATAATACAAATCTAAAAGAAGAAAAATAAACTCCTAATATAATAGTTTTACTTATATAAGAAGTGGATTCATATTAATATCACCCGTTGACGTTGTAGCTGATGTAATAAAAGAACCATTTGGGGTATCTTCAATTACTGGATTTATAATATTTCCATTAATATCGGTCCAATGTTTAGCGGGACGATTTAATGGAACTACTCTATCTTCCGCCGGAAGCCAGTCCAATGGAAATTCAATCATTGGATATCCATCATAAACAAATGCAGGTGGTGCTTGAACATTATTAAAATTTAAATCTTGCGGTAGGTAATTAAATTCGAGATAATTATCATTTTGATCTGAATTATCGTCGTCTTTTCTTAAACGTAAAGCTCTTGGTGAAAGTGGATCGGGAGAACGAAGGAAATTTGACAAATAATCTCCCCCCATAAATGTTGCATCATTATACATACGTGATGGTATTGATAATTGTTCGGGTAAAATAATAGAAGATATATTATCAAGATTAGTTTCATCAACGCGATTCCAATATTTTTTAGGTCCTACATCTGGATCCATAACAGGAATTCCTTGTTCTGAACCTTTTCTCTTAAAAAAGAACACGTTTTTTGTTAATTCTTTGCATTTCTGATGATCGGATTGAGCGGATTGAGCCTTCCTAATTTCCTTGACAATACAATATAACTTGGAAGACATTGCCCAATAAGGACCCATTAATCGCAAGAAATTTTCATTGATGGATAAATTCATTTTAGCTTCTTCTGCGATTCTAACATCTGAACTATAAATGTCATTGAAATGAATAGTTGTGGTGGCAAATATAGGATATAAAATAAATGGGCACATAAATTGACACCCGTGTTCGCTAATATCCGCTGCTATGGAAGAAACAAACTTTGCCGCCGCGCTACACCTCTCTGCTGACGCCCGCATAAATTCTAAGTGGCAAGACGCAACTTCTTCATTTTGAAGAGGGGCAATATTTGGCCGATTCAATACAACTATCGCTGAATAATAAAGTAAATGAATCGAAGCAAATGCTGGACCTAACCCATCTGCCATTAATTGAAGCATTTTCTCTCTGGTATAAGTATAATGAGGTGTTAATGAGGAGTACCAATCTTCTAATTCTTTTTCTAAAACAGTAAATTGAGAATTTGGATCCCAAGTTGGTAATGCATTATATGGTTTAGATCTATTCACGTGTTGACATACACGGCCAAGCAAGGCCGTAACGCTAACAAGACATGCACTAATTCCAAAGTTTGCAAGAGTTAAACGAACATCGTGCTTAATTTGTCCAACTTTGAGAAACTCATCAATTGATGGATTTTCGAGAGGATGTTCTATATTCCAAACTGACTCGCTGCAAGGTAATTTCACATCACAATCATCCTCATCGATTAATGTTGGTCGACCAAGTGCACAAGCTGAAAATCTATCAAGTAAGAAACATGACCAAAATGTACGTCTTTTAATCTCTTTTTGAATGAACGTATATTCAGGACTTGATTTCGAAGAATTAGATTCTGAAGTTTCTTCGTCAACTTTATGAAGACCCAACTCTTGTGCCAATCTTACTGCCATTCCACTATACATCCATGCTCTAGATCCGTTGCCAATACCGTACATATGTACCGAAAGCAATACCAAACCCTGAACGTGTTCAACGGAAGGACAATCGAATGTATCAAACATATAATCATTTGCGATGGCAGCAAAAGGTTCGCCGGAAAGGTAAGGAGGTTTCCGAATGATAGATGGATTTTTAGAAAATCTGAAATTTATTAAGAAATTGGGCATAATTAACATAATTATCATTGATAAAAGTTATCGATAAAACTGAATTTGACTTTAAAGATTTACCTGGCACTTACGGCACAAATTGCGAATACTAGAAATGGTCCAACTTTATTCTGCCTTAAATGTCTCATAAAAGTAGCTTCATGAAACATTGGCATTTGAATATCTATATTACGAAAGAAACAAGCGGCAAGATGCTCGACGATATCTACCGGCGGTAACCCATTTCTACTACGAATGACAGAATTTACCGAAGGAATTATTGAATCGATATCCTTTGAATTAGAAGATTCGGACGAAGGTGAATGCTCATTATGTTCCGAAGAATCGCATATCATCGGCAAATCTTGATTACAATGGATGAACAATTCATTCCTATTACGAAACCCTGGTTTTGCGGCTGATTTTCCAAAGAATATAAGTTCTTCAGATACATCGTCCTCATTTGAAGTATTTCCTGACTTATCTTCATTATAAATTTGTTCTTGTATAGTTTGTTGAATTTGTGATTGTTGGGAGAAAATATTAATAAATGCCGCCTGACCAAATTGTGATTGTGATTGCTGATCATCGGTATTATGAGATGTATTAGATGTATTATTGGATGTATAATTATTATTTACGGAGAATTCAGATTTCGGTTCAACATTATCTATATTTAACCGTGGTTTTTTGACAGATTTTTTATCCTCTACGTCATCAACAATTCCTTGTTCTTTAAGAGGTTGTAAAAGTTTTTCCATCTGTTGAAGACGTTTCTCCAAACTTTCCACGAGACCAACCCTTGGACCCCTTTTACGTGTACTAGGAAGGTATGTACATGTTGCTCCAAGGCGCATACAGTTATTACAAGTAGGTTTATCACCACTACACTTTACTTTTTTCTTTCGACACGCATCACATGCTTGTGTTAGTCGCCTTCGTTTACTAGGTTGAGTTTCGGTAGAATTAGTTGCTAAATTATTGCCGATATCAACGGTGGCTGTTAAAAATGCAGACATATCCATCGATTATTATAAAATCCAAAAGAAAAATCTGATAAAAATAGTATAAGGGTTGGTTAAATTTACACGAAAACTTGCTCACGTATGATATCATCATGCGATATCACCAAAACGAAAATATTTAAAAAAATGTTACCAGATAATTCCAGGGAACGGCAAAATTGAATTCCTTATTGGTAGTCGACCTTTGTTTTAAGTTAATACACGGTAGGATATATTTATTATTAACCGACTATCATACTACCTTCTTTGCAAAATTTGAGGTTGAGAATGCGGAAACGGAGAAAACTATACCGACGCCCTTTGTGAAGAAGGTTATATTTATACTTGTATCGAAATAATCTATATAACTGGTTAATTAGAGATTCCGTATTTCCGTAATATATTTAGTAAACTCAGTATGCAAATGATGAACAAAAATGTACAATTTATGTATATTTATTTTGATTGAAGTTTCACAACAATCAGATTACAAATACAATTTTTTCGGATTCAACGGATATTCCGCGAGGTAATTTTTATTGTATAATGGTATTATTATTATTATTATTATTATTATTATTAAATTCTTTGTTAGAAAATTTTGATGAAAACTATATCTATTACAGATGTTTTTTTTTTTTGCCATCTTTCGCTCTTTTAGAAACACGTAGAATAAACGATTAATAATCTTATAATAAATACGTAATTGTATTAATTTGCATCACGAGTTCCTTTGGCTGCATACACCATAATTTTGAGAAATTGTTTTCTTTTAAGGATAAATATAATAT